TGAGAGTTGGAGGATAGAAAGTGACTATGGAATGATGTCTGTCAGCTGGGGTGGTATGAGGTAGCTAGGTGTGATCTCTGAAGGTGAAGGTGCGAAGTGGCTTGGGAGTGATGTAAGTTTGAAGGAGTGGTAATTGGCTGGTGAATGATATCTTTCAGCTGAGGGTCTGGAAATAGCCTGTGAGCAATGACTGTCAGCTCGAGGCCAGGGAGTGGTGTATACCAGCTTGTTGTGAAGGTGGTAAGGGGCCAGGGAGCAATGCCTGTCAGCTGGGGGTTTGCTATGGGAAACCAGGAAGTGATAAACAGCCTGGGTGGTTGTGAAATGAGTGAGGTGTGTCAGCTTTTGGGGGTAGAGGTTTCAGAAATGGCTATGGAGTGATTTCTGTCAGCTGGGGTGTGCATGAGTAATTAAATCTAGTGCTGCCTGCAAATTCAGCCAACTCCCCACACACTCACCCCCTCTCTAAACTGTTCTAGAGACTCACTCACCCCCTCTCTGGCAACAGAAATGTTATGCCTATGGGTTCCGCCCAGCAGCAGGTTGCAACTTAAAAGGCAGAACAGATACAGCCTTACTTCTATCCTTGCTCTAATTCTTGTTGGCCTGGTCAGTATGCTGGAGGCTACTGGGGAGAATAAAGGGGAGAGATTCTGGGCCTGGGGGTAAACATTTTTAGCAGCAAGGATAGGCAGCTGCCCCCTTCCCCCATGGCCATGATCCTGGGGCACAGCCCAGGACACCTCCACCAAAGGACAGTTGACTAAAAAGTGGGACCGCCCTGTCAAATCCCGAACACTTGACAAGATGTACTGTTGGACCTTTTACATTTTGGGTGGCCTCACTGATCAAAAGAGAGGTGGGATTGACTGAGCCACATCTTGACTTTGAGAACTGAATTTGTAATATGCATAGTTAAGCCTCTGGGTTTTGATAATCATAGGATGGTCTGGAAACAAGATATAGTAAGGCACCTCTAGCTACTGTTCAGTCTTACTAGTTGAGCCTCCATGATTGAAAGAACTAAAATCCAATGAAAGAAAGGGGAGGGTCAGGGGCAGTCAGGCTGGAGAGGAAAAGGCTAGATGATGCTGGACTTCCTCCAGCCAGGAAATGAAGTGAACTACTTGATGCAGCTTCTTATTCACATCACGAGATGCTCGCAGTGTATAGTAAAATCAGACTATTCATTTTTAGTACAGGAGAAGAGTCTCTACACATGTAGAAGACTGAATGTAAGGCTGGAGTTATACTGGAAATATTGGATTGGTCAGCTGTAATATATTAAATGTTTGCTTCTGGGTTTAGATACACTTTAAGGATGCATACAGGTAAGTGAAACCTTTGAGGTTGATTACTTTTAGTGTTTCTTTGGATAATCCTTTAATAAGGATTTGATTCTCCCTAATTATAGCTCCACCATTGCTCCTCCCTTACACAAACAAATTGGGAGCACCTCATTAGCCAATAACAGCACTCTCATTGGTTTTTGGATGGCAGAAAGTGCCTCAACAGGTTCATTATAAAGAGAAATCCTAGTCAAATGGAAAAGTAATGTATAGAGTTAAAAACTGATTCGTGCGAGACTACAGTGAAAAGCTGCAAAGTTCCCAGTTCTGGTAATTGGCCTATGTCATGCTTGCCTCAAGTTCTCAGGTGGTCCCTGAAAGCACTTACCTTGAGTATTTGTGTCCCGGTGGTGCATCGGATCCTAGCCCTACTGACGTCTGTCAGCCTTAAAAAAAGAATCCAAATGTTATATAACAACATGCAGACAGGAATGTTATATATGATATGTTTTGATATGATATAAGCTCACTATTGATTAACCTCTTTAACTTGAAAAACTTCTCATTCCAGTGACAGCCTCCTTGTAGTGATAATCGCCCCTGCACCCCTATGTCCTTACATTCCTTCCCTTCTCTCCCTAACATGTTCCCCATCTTCTATCTGCCAACCTATTGATGTACCTTCCCACTTCCATTCATCAAGCCTTTCTTACTAGCACTCATAGCCAATGCTTCCTCTCTCCCACCCCCTCTTTTCACATTGTTAAGTGCACTGCCAACACCTAGTACACTCTCAAAAGAAGGAGTGGGAGAGAGGAAGAACTTAACAAACAGCAACAATGTAAAGTCCTAAATTAAGTATATTTAATGCAGGAAACACTCACTTTGTCAGCTTCCTCTTTATTTCTTCTCTTAGTCTCTAAGTCACTGTAGAGGCCAGTCAGAAAATGGTTCATGTGTGAATGGAGCTTAAAACACGTCCTCATTTACCTCTGTATCTAAAAGGATTGTAGGGAAAATCATTTTCAAAGTTCACAACAGAGGCATTGATATCTTTAGTGCCTGCGTTACAGTCCAGTGCGATCTGCAAAAAATTGTGTTTGCAGTACTAATGTGCCACGCATTTGGGTCCCGGCGATCGCACCGTAGGCGGGGGGCATGGCTATGGTGCCATTGAGTTCAATGCACCACCACGCCCCCTCCCGCCCCCCAAAAAACTGAGCCTGACGGGTTGCGTTCCAGTGCGTTCCTGATGCCGAATGCACTGGAACACACTCCTGAGGGTGTGACAGGGCCCTTACACTCAAAAATCTAATTCTACCAATGCATCCCTCCTATGTATGATGATTAATAATAACATAGACACGTCAAGTGTAAAAAGCTGTGATTATGAAATACTTACACTTACAGAACATTCACTTCCTGCTTTGAAAGGGCAACAAGACTTCAGTTTGGCAAAGCAATGCACACTGGGATTGCCTTGTCATCAGCAGAGCATTGCTGGGAAATCTCATCTGTAACCTCAGGAGATCTCAGGGAAAGGCATTTTCCTCCCTTGAGATGATGTCACATGTCCCAGTCACATGCCTAGTCACATGTGCCAGAAATCCAGGAAGTAAAGGGAGATCTAGTAATCTGTGTTTAGTAAACATGGCCACTGCCAGAAGACTAGGAAAGGAAAGAGAAATAAGGTATTGAAGAATACAAAGCCAGCAATTATCTAGAAGTATGTGTTTATAGATTGTCATTACTAAACATTACTAAGGATGTGTTTGTTGTTATTTTAAAGATATGGGTAAAGGTCAGCTTTCAGGTAAAAAACAAAATTTCCAAAGTTAGTTTTGAACTTTTCAGCTGCTAGGTTCAGGCCATCCCCTCGTGTTCTTGATCTTAGCTTCATATAAAAAATTCTTCCCTCCTGAACCTCATTTGCACCCCTAAAGCATTAATATTTATGTATTTAAAGGTTTCATTCATGCCCCTCCCTTTCCTTTCTTTACCTGAGGCTGTACATAATAAATTGCCTCTAAACTCAGGAGTTACATTTTAAAAATGCATTCAACTACCTTAAACTAGTATTAAACACTGAAACTTTTCTTTTTTTTAATAATGTATCCAGATCAAACAAATATACATTGGCCAGCAAAGCATTGCTTTTCATTTTCGCCCTAACACTTACAATCATCAGCAGCTGTGAAGTCTCTCATGTCAGCTTTCCTGAACTTTCTGTCCAGTACAAGATCACAAAGGACAGAGCGGACTCCACCAACTGTTCATCCACTCGTTTGGAGAAGGGCGGAGGGAGGAGAGGGGGCCAGGGGGAGGGAAGTAACTTGATTTGCTGTGTTTGTGGGTTCTGATCGGTCATTCACTCGGCTGCCCTCGGCAGCTTTGTGAATAGACCCCTAAAACTTTTAAGCATAAAGGAGCAGAATCCATTGTAAGTGATTTTATCAGCATTTTAAATAGCTTAAAATCCTTTTAACTTTAATATCACATTAACTATTAACAAAAATGTATCTTATTTGTGTATCACTCGGCTGTAGATCCTGAAATCATCTCTGAATTCATGCTGACACTGTCCTTCCTTCTGGAGGATGTTGTGTTGTGTGTGTTATGTTGTGTGTGTTATAAGTAGACATTGGTCCAAGCTCACTCCCGTGATGGACTACAATCTCACATTAAGCTTACAAATTTGTATTGCGATTGTAGTCCATCACGGGACTGAGCTTGGAGCGATGACTACTTTACAACACACACAGGGACCATGGGGAACAAAAGTAGTCACCCCCCAGAAGGAAGGACAGTGTCAGCACCAAGTCAGAGATGATCTGAGAATCTACAGCCGAGTGACACACAAATAAGATACATTATTGTTAATAGTTAAGGTACTTCAATGCTTTTTTAAGGTTTAACTCCTGAGTTTAGTGTCACGGTCTCTCCTGATATGTTTTGTCTCTCAGACCTTTCACCATTAAAATTGCATTAGACATGGAACCTAAAAGACAAGATAAATCATGTTGTTTGATACTTTTGGGCTAGAACTTTCTTATATTAAACTATTAGGGAAAAAAAGCAGGTATTTTCATGTCTCTTTTTTTTCCAATTTAAAACATTTTATAAAAACATACAAAATATTAGGCATGAATCCCACCAAATTTATAACTGAGTTCAAGGAGATATATAATAATTGGGTGAAAAAAAACTGCACATTTTACTGCAGCATTTTTGTTGTGGCTGCAATTTTCATACAACAGAGAATGTAAATCAGTCAAAGAACCACAATGCTACAAATGTGGCAACGCATTGTTTTGTTTTTTTTTTCTCTTTTTTATTTAGAGTAAGATGTGTTGACATCCAGCATGACAAAATTTGTACAAAGTTCACAATTTAAAAATGAAGTATCACACCAACTTGTGATTCCACACATTTATCGCAAAATTAAAATGTCATCAACAAATCCATGCCGTGTAGTACAAAAATAAATCAAACTTCAGTTCCACAGAGAGCACAATAAATAGTTTATACAAAATTCTGTCTTAATAAATGATTACTTAAATTAAACTTAGAAATGAATATGAACAATAAGTTATTATAAATAAACTTCGATGACTCACAATAATTCCATATGAAAGGTCAGCATTCTAATATGTGACACTTTTTTTTTTTCTTTTTTTTTGTGATCCCTATATAATAATAGTCACAGATAGGTTTTTGATTTGATACAGTTTAATGTACCACCATTAAATGAGCAGCAGGTTTGTGCTTAAAATCCCTTTCCATTGTACATAGGTGATAACAATAATAATCCCAACTGATACTATCTATTTATCTACTGAAAGCATTACTATATTGGCAAAGAAGCTGCAGACACAATGCAGTGATAAAAGGCAGATGCCAGTATTAACAATGGCTACCTTGAAAGAAGAACTCCAAGGCAAGGTATGACATGGATATGGCAGAAGGTCGAGCACCTTTCTTCGGCATTTGAAAAGGCAGTTCTGAGCATGACCGCTACAACTAATAGCACAACAGAAAGACAGGCCTTTACAGAGAACGTACTGCAAAGCCCCCAAAAGTAACTACATAAGCTCTTCCCAGCTAGTTATTAAAGTCCTCCTGGAAAACTGTAAGCTTTTGTACAGTGAAGAGTATAAAGTGCCGCTGGGATATACATATATTTATACATATATATACCGAGGTTGAGTATTGTATTAGAATATTTGTTGTGAGATCCCTGTAACCTCCCTTAGCGATATTATTGAAACAGCCATCATGGCTTCCAGTATATCTTTTTTTTTTGTATCTTTCATTTATTTATTTTTTTGTTCCGATTTAGTGTCACAAAGGCTATAGACACAGAGAAAAAAAATTGCACACCTCCGTATATTATGGATATATAGGACAAGGTAAGTGCAAATCATCAACTGGCACATTGTGGGGACAATGACCCTGTAAGTCCTATTTTGCTAAAAATATTTTTTTTTATTTTTAAAAAAAGCCATCTTTTTTTCATAGCAAAATTCTAAGTACATTGTACTTTCTGCATAACAACACATGGAAGGAAAAACAATATGCCGTTTAAATAAAAAATAATGATCCTCTTGACATCTTTATAAACACAACACATATCTGACATGACTTAAAAAGTGGTCTTATGCATACAGTTAGTGCAGTTGTTTAGAAGAAAATAAATAATGTTTAAAAAAATCTGCATTGTAACAATTACAATTTAAAACAGATAAGTGCTGTCTGAAGTTTGGTAATATAACATAAGTCACATTTTATTTTTTTTTAATGGACAGTCGAGCAACAATCCCTTTTTTTAATGTATTTTTTTTTCAACAACAGACAAAAATAAAATAAAAAAAAGTGGAAAATGATTGAAAATTAGATAAATGTTCGAAGGTAGATGGTGTACTTTTTCTTCTAAATCTATCGTTGGATTTTATCCAGGGACCAGAAAACTGATTTTCTTTTTTTTTTTTGCATTAATTGTAAAACCCCCAATGAAACAAAAGGACAATGAAAAAAAGCAACAAAAAAATGTATTAAAAATAGTGTCTTTCAAAAATGCAGGAATCCAGTACTAGTATAGTTATACTTAACAGGCAGTTCAAAGGGAAATGAAACAATCCTGGAGTGAAAGAGTGAGTAGTGGCTATTTCTCCAAAGTCTGTTTGAAAAAGATCAGTAGGAATTATCTCATTGTCCACTTCTGATACAGTTCAGCAATGGATGTTCCCGTATTGAGATCAGTTGATGCTTATTTATGAATGAAAAGTGCTTTTAAGCTGCTTTGATTTTTTTCCCCGCAGGTTTTCATAGCTTGATTTTGTCTTACAGCAAGAAAATATTTTTGTTTCTTTTGCATCTCTCCAATGTCCTTTCCACAGAGTTTGAAAAAAAAAAAGATAATATTCAAGGATTTTTGGGCAGCCTTGAAATAAACGGAAACCCGACCTCCACTTGAGGTCATTATAAAAAGTCAATTCCACATCGCTTCTTGCTGTGAAACAATATGCGCACCATGATGGATTTTTCCGTCCTCAAAAATATTCCTGCTACTGGAGGCCTAGAGAAAATGTCTGGACGGGTGGCTGCCGATTGGCAAGACATTTCCCGACGGATTTTGTCTTATCCACTTTGATATACTAAAACACTGATTCACCAACGCATAAAAAAATCTACACTCTGATTTTTCTTCATCAGCTTCCTTTTTGAGAAATATATTTACCTTAAAAATGTGCATACGTTAGCAGCTATAAACATTACATGGCATATCACACAATGTTAGCTTATATGAAAACGTACAAAATGTGAATGTATTCAAAATCTATTCAGCAGTTGCTATTTGTTTTTGTTTAGTTTTTTTTTCTTTTTAAAGCAAGACATAAAATCATCATGAAGTCTTGTAAGCATAACACTGTTTCAAAATGAATAAATATATAACACTTTTCTGGTAGCTAGGGAAAGAGGCATCCTTATTTTATAGATATTTTTGTTTGTTTTGTTCGAGTTCACCAAAAGAGCAGCTGCTTAGACTTGGATCCCTCTTACGGCTTGCTTTATGTTTTCCAAGAGTGCCTTATTTTCCGGGCTCTGATAGCGGTCTTGATTTGTGTACATGTCCGTCAACGTGCTCACGTAGGCATCAAAGTTCTGTTCATTGATGGGATCCTACAAGAAAATGAACATTTGTTAGGTGTTATTCATCCAAAAAATTGGTAATAGGCCAACTTTTTTTTTACTCCTTCCTTATATAAATTAAACAATGATTATTGTATTATGGTGCACTGCACAAAACAAAGGCATAACTATGGCCAAAGAAGTCCTTGTCAATTCTCAGGGGTTCCTTGAGTAGAGAAAGAAATTGGACTCTATTATTAGAATGGAGAGAGGATAATGCTACCGCTCTCTGTTAAATTCCACAGTATTACTCAATGCTACAGCCTGCATTTTGTGGCCCATTCATAAAATGCAGGCTGCCGTATTGAGCCTGTGGTGCTTCATGGAGTTCTCTCTTGTTAACACAGCAAAATTGGAGGAGAGTCAGTCAAGTGACTATGGCAGGTTACATGACTGGCTGCCCTTCTCCAGCCCCCCCCCGTCCCCCTTCCCCCCCCCCCCCCCCCCTATTCTATTTTATTGTGCTCTACAGGCTTTGGACTCCCGCAGCCAGTGAAGCACAATGTACATTTGTAAAGGGCATTGCTGTGCTTTTTTATACGTGCGCTATTCTTTCTTTTGATAAAGCAGTGACAAGGCTGGGCCTACAAGACCATATTTCTGACTCCATAATGCTTATATGAGGCAATAATTGCTGGATGAACCAAAAACATTTATTTGATTTGGGAAAAATGTTTGCTGAGATATTTGGTGTCATTGATGAGCAAACTGATATAAAAGCAGACACAATTATATTTTTTTTATTGTCCTTAAAGCCCAGCTAGAACTTCACACCTTTTTTTCTTTATCGCCATGTACCACAGAATGTTATAAATCTTTCACTGATTTTTGCATGGAAATGCCTTTCTTTCATTGTAGAAATGGGCTAAATAGTGGTGCTAGCATAGATGAGTACACAATTGTTATCCCCTAGAGCAGAGAAGTAAATAAGAAGTCTGTCTTACTAGGAGTGTTACATTATTTTGTGCCCTGGGCAGCATAACCAAACTCTGGTGCCTGTCGGACTATGCAATCATAATTATTCAAACTGCTTAAAAGAGAACTAAAGCCACACTTTTTTTGGCTTTAGTTCTCTTTTGGGGTCACAGGAATATGATTACTGATCATCTAGAGAGGCAGAGCCATGCTGGAGATGAGAAGGATGCCAACAATATTGTCAGGATCCACCCCACTGCCTGATTGACAGCTGGCTCTGCCTCTCTAGAGCCCACCCCCTCCCCTGTCTGTACCTCTAGTGAGCGCTGGGGAAGCAGAAAGAGGGGAGGGGGAATCCCTGTGGGAAGGGGTGACTGACAGTCACTACTCTCTGCAGGGAGAAAACTGTGAGCTGAGCGTTCAGTGGTTTGTGATTGCTCAGTTCTTGATCTATAGAGCTGGCATGTGACAGCTGCAATATCACACACCGGCTCTAAGTATTGGGAAGAGTACAGTTTACTCTTCCAATGTGATAATTATCACAGTGTATGGCCAACTTAACATTGTATCTCTCTCTTTCCAATCTGACAAAGCTCCTCAAGGTAGAATAGTCTGCTTCCCCCACTTGGGAGAAGCCCAGCTCCAGTCACTTCCTGCTCCCAGTAGTTAAGAAATCTTTCTTTTAAATGCCATACATGTAAGATGTGTACTGCATTCCCCAAGCCTGGGTGAACAACTCTTATGGTAATTGATCCTCCCCGTGTGATTCAGTATACAGCCTTCAGGTATGGCATTTAAAAGAAGTTTTATTTTTTTTTAACCAGCATGAGGGGAATCTAACCTAAAGAAAAATGCTTAGAGATTGGACAGTAAGTTCACTGTTCAGGTCTGTCAGTATTTGGATAAATGGTACAGTGTAATGCTAAATTCAGTCTACTGGTGACAATGATTATTATGGATCTGCAGTGTTCATTTACAGCTACAAACAAAATTGTAATATATTGCAGCTTACCAAACCCTACATGTGGTGGCCGGATTCATTTCCCCCCCCCCTTTATTCTCACCTGGTAATCTGACCAGTAACACACTTCCTGTCTTAGGGTGGCTCAACTCTATGGAGGAAGAATGGAGCCACCCTTGGACAGCATCATTGTCACCCTATGGAGAGTGTAGTGTTAGATGGACTAGTAGATTTAGATGAACTCGACTAAAAAATGAAAGATGAACTCCAGCTAACACTCCTTAAGCAGTTAGAGCAACAGTTATTATTTTTGTTTTTGGATAAAGTTTTACATAAATCAATAAAAGCTGATCATTGTAAGTACCCCTGTTATTGTTAAATGTAAGAAGCCATGAACTAAGTATTTATTTCCTATGCTGTTCAACGTTATTTAGTTGCCATAATATGGTATAACAAGATGACATTCTAAAATACATGAGAACTATAAAAGAAAACAAGAAACATTTGTTTTGTTCATCTATTGGCACAGAATGAACATTCACAGAAATGCACAGGGCAAATAGCTCTGTTAATTGTTTATAAATATACCCCAATGAGATCTTCTTTTGTTCAGCATGCGGGTTGAAAAACAAATTTAATAGGTTCCTCCATCCATGTTAAACAGCATGCATGGACAAATTTCCTGCTGCAGCTATTGCATCCTGACAGCCGATGCTTGCCACTGTCAGAATACATGAAGAGGGTTTGTCCAAGAATTGTCCAAGAATTATCAGGCAGGCTCCTTTAACACTGCTCAAATTTTGGCCAAGTCAGCAGAACTTGGCTAAAATCCAAGCAGTGTATGGCGAGTGACCTATCAGCATACTCAAGCTTTGTCATTTGTGAAGGCAGAAGAAACTGACAGGACTAATGTGTAGGTAAGTACTAGCTGCTGATTGCTTTTACTTTCAGATCCCTTGTCCTGATACTTGTTTTGTATCCCACCAAACACTTCTAATCACCACCTCAAGTTTGCTCTAACAAGAAAGGGACGCACACACACTGCATCACTGAGAAGCCACTTCTAATAATTTATAAATATGTACATTGTTTAATTTAGATGTTATGGTTATTTCATAAATACCTATTACCTTTTACAAATACTCTTAAAAAATGAATATATAATTGGAGGCAGCTCTGTGGCTTAGTGATTTGCCCTTCTGCCTTGCAGCACTGGGGGTCCTTGGTTTGAGTCCTGGCCAGGACACTATCTGCATGTTTGCATGTTCTCCCTGTGCTTGCGTGGGATTCCATCAGGGACTCCAATTGTTTTCCAAAACTCCAAAGGCTTGCTGGCAGGTTAATTGACTCCTGTCTAAAATTGGCAAAATGTGGGCCAAAAAAACCCAACTGCAGCCTCCACTGGCAGACCCTGGTAACACTCCATTGAGTGGCTAATACAGCTCAGGTACACATTTCTGCAAGGAGCCACAGAAAGGGTAAAGTTTGCAGGCCATCAAAGATCACAATGCGGCCACCATGGTAACAGGAATTAAATTATGTTAATTATGGGATGTACAAATGTATGGTTTTTTATATTTACATGGGTTTCATACAAAAATGAACACATCAATTGATTAAAGCAATTGTTATACTGCCCTGTTCACTTACTTTAAAGCTGAACTCCAGGTATAAAGCATTATTCATACATACATTGGTCTAGCTTGGCCCAATGTACGTATATATATATA